TCTATTGATAGCTTTGTTGACACATTTGTCCCTGCATAGAGTGATGCCTACCTCTCTCTACATAGTTCCAAACACTACTGGTATTCATGTCCCAATTTAAATTTTATCTTTTTCATAGGTCAAATTTTGGCCAATGCCTATTGAAATGCTTTCTTTTTGCTCTGAACGACATACAGTTTGAGTTATCTTTTCCTTTAGTGTCCTACATTAACTATAACCAGACAAAAATGACAAGTCTTTTGTATTACTGGCAAATTGAGTCTAAAAGAAAACTCAAAACGGGGATTTCAAGAATATTTTAGCTAATCATAGTATTTTATTGCTTCCTGGGGTGATTTTGTGAAGGAAATTACTTATGAATGCACACATTCTGCTAACAATTTTATAATGAGCAAAATACTTTTAAGGTCTTACCTTATCATTTTAAGATATTTCTTAAAGCACTGAGTAGGCTGCTGTGCATGCATAGATGAGGTACTCCTATCATTCTTTGCCCAATCCCTAATGAAATGACTTTGTCCTACTCTAAATTATTGTAGGATGATAGATCTTTGTATCTAATTACCTCTATTAGCTACAACTATGCAAACGTGAGATTGAGTATTGCATGACTTGTATATTGGTTTATAATTTCAAGTGAATAGTTTGAATATATTTTTGGCTATTCTAGTATCATCAGAATAAGTTTTACTTCTTTAATGATTCTATGAAGGAAATCACTTACAGATGTACTCATTCTGTGAACATTCAAATAACTAGCTGATTATTTTAAAGAGATTCCCCTAAAGCACTGAGCAGATTGTTTTGCATAGAGCAGATGACTCTCCCCTAAATATTAGTCAACTGGTATACTGAATTAGGTAAGTGCTGAATTGAAATATAAAAAGGCCTCTTCTGACTCACCACGTTGAAAGAGATCTGGATATGAATAGTACTGTAACAATAATGTCCATAGGACCTTTAGCTCTTCAGTGAATTTCATATCAAAAATCTGTGGTTATTTTCCATTAAGTGTCGAATATCTCAGTTGGCTATGTCCCTAAAAAAAGGCTGAGAAATTAGTCCTGTGTCTTATCTTAGTAATTTCGAGAAGTGGCTGAGGTTGCCATCGGGAGACCTTCCAATTTTTTTTTTTCTCACAGTCAGAAATCTAAGATGTCTGAACTAAGCAAAGGTGCAATGAAAGCACAGGAAGAAGCAGAATGCCAGATGACTCCATCAGGACACTCAGATGGTTTGATGTGTGTTTAACATTTAGGCTTGATAGGGGATATTTCTTATTTCTGAGGCAAATGGCATAGTACTTTCACTCAAGAAAAGTGACAGGGAATGAAAAGAATGTGCTCTGTTGGGAGAAAAATGAGTTGTTCATTATCCGCCAAGAAATAGAGAGGAGAAATCATTCTTGTTAGTTAAACATGCTTTCTCTTTGTTTTCTTTATCTTGTCTTCTTGTCTTACTTTTAATTGATCTCTCTCTCTCTCTCTCTCTCCCTCTCCCTCTATCTCCCTTTGTGGTTAACGCTAACAGGGTAACATTGGGTGATTGGTACCCTCTGAAGTGTCACCCATCTGAGGTTTTTAATTATCAAATCTATCATAAGTGTAGACAAGTCTGCTAATAGCTTTTATGATGTCGAACAGGTTTCTTTACACAGACACAGACACAAATATGCATATCTATGGTAATTCCTTAATAACTCAATGCATGGTCATATCTTTACTTTGCTTTATCTCAGATGACATAGTAGTGTTTAACAATACTCAGTTGAAAGTAATGAGAAATTGAAAGTTGAATTCTACCTATCCCGCTGCCACGTTTCTCTATCCTGATGTGTTTTCAGTGTCGTTTTTCACAATTGTAAAGTTTATATAGAAAGAAACAACACCATCTAAACACTATTAAATTGGAGCATTCCAATTAAGAGTTTCTCAAAATGTGTCTTGCAGAGCAACAGTCTTGGGCTGCTATTTGAGGAAATGGTTCCATGGTCTACTAACTGAAAAATTATAAATTTTACATCTCCATTCATAATGTATATTAGCATATTACAGTATCTGAGAAGTCTTTCAGTAAAGACACCTTTATTTAATTCAGCATTTTCCAAATTTACTTGATGGTACAACTATTTTATTGCACATAAAAATTATTATTGTCTCACTGAGCTAGTGTTACTTGGGACATAGCTAGAGAAAAACTGCCGTAATTTCTCCTTCATTCTGCAGCTAGCTGTTCTCCAAAAATGCAAATTAGTTACATTGTTCCTCTACTTGAAATATGTCACAAACTCCCCATTATCTGCAGGGAGATAAAAATCTAATTTGCTTAACAGACAAAGCCTCCACATCTAATATTCAGCCATCACACATATGAAATTTTAGATTTGCTGAAGTGACTATGTGTTTTCTGATCATTCTGTTTACTTCTTCTATCTTTGTGTCAATACACATTTTTGCCTCCTCGAATTTTCTTTTCCTCCTCGTAGATAAGAAAAACTTGTTTATCCTTCAAAATCTAGCTGAATCACTGTGTTCCAGAAATCCTTCCTGATTATTCTAGCCAAATTTACACCAAATCTGTGATTTTTATCATGTAGCTGACTGAGCTAGAAATAACACAATTCCTCAGAACTTTTTTTTTATCTTAGGGCTTTTTAATATCTCTACCCTACATTCCTCCACTTGATAAGATTTACCTTATCTGCTGTCTATTAGACTAGGACACCTGCATTTTGATTGATTTCTACTTCATTTTATGACAGATACCTTAAGCTTAACATTTTTATTGAAGATTTTTTTTTATTCCTGTTATCCTTCTGATCATCTAATGTTTCCTGTATCAGTCAATATGGTACCACATTTCAATGATTGCTATAACAGAATACCTGAAATGGGGTAATTTATAAAGGAAATAAATTTATTTCTTGTAGTTATGGAGGCCTAGAAGTCTAAGGTTGGGGGGGCCACATCTGGTGAGAGCCTTCTTGCTGGGTTGTGGAGGACTCTGCAGAGAGTCCTAAGGTGGCTCAGGGAATCACATGACAAGGGGACTGAGTGTGCTAGCTCAGCTCTCTTTTCCTCTTCTACTAAAGCCACCAGTCCCACTTCCATAATAACACATTAATCTATTAACCTATTAATCCATGAATAAATTAATTCATTCACAAGGACAGAGTCCTCATGTCCCACTCACCTCTTAAAAGCCCCACTTCTTAACACTGCCACTTTGAAAATTGGATTTCAACATGAGTTTGGGAGGAGACAAATACTAAAACTATAACACAAGACACACAAGCCAAACGTCCGGAAATTCTGCCTCACTCTTTCCTTTCCCTTGCCCCCACCATGAGTCAGATACTACCTTTCTGTAATCCACTTATCAAATAGCAACCAGATTAATCATTTTTAAACGCTCCCAATTTACAACTGCTGCTATTGTTTCCACTTACTTAAAGGATAAAATCCAAATTCTTAACACAGTCTAAAAGCTGCACATTTTTGCTCCTGTCCACCTCTCTGGTATCATCTCATACCACTATTCAAATTTCTTCTTTTCTCCATATAGTATAATTTATTTATGTGCTTAGAAGAGCTATTTGTTGTACATATACAAATTGCTAAAAAACTTTAAACCACTGCTAATTTCCATTTGCTTTCTTTCCAAGTTGCCAGAGCTATCTCATTTGTGGACTATTCTAAACAGCAGAAATGTTAAAATGGCTTTCAAAACAAGCTGTAAAGAGCTTTTTAATACTTTTGCTTAATAGTTGTGACAATACAATAGGAAACAGGGGTTACAGCATATTAACTGAGATGAACATAGAATTTTGTTGCTTAAAAATTCAGATATCTTAGTATTTTTTATCCACTGGTAATCATTTTATATTTCATAAATAAAAAGGTTGTCAAAAGGAGGATTGTGAAGGTAAAAATACAATAATACAAAATTTAAAAAATTACCAATGACAAAAAGAAATACAAATTTTTCATTTGGGCAAAACTATAGAATTTGTAGAAACTAAAATGTATTCCTAATAAAAGTCTCATTTTTAATAAATACTTATTTTAAGTCTTACATAACTGTACATCTTCCTGAGTTTGAGATTTTTTTAAAAAAATTTCAACATTTATTTCAGATGCAAGGGGTACATGTGCAGATTTGTTATATGGGTATATTGCACCAAGATAGTGAGCAGAGTACCCAGCAGGTAGTTTTTCAACCCCTTTATAGAACCATCAGTTCTCATGAGACTTATTCACTATCACAAGAACAGCACAGGAAAGACCTGCCCCCATGATTCAGTTATCTCCCACCAGGTCCCTCCCACAATATGTGGAAATTATGAGAGTTACAAGATGAGATTTGTGTAGGGACACAGAGCCAAACCATATCACGAATGTAACAAAATATGGCTTTTTCTTATCCAAATGTTATTTGTGAAATATCAGAATTCTATCTGACTTATTTCAGGAATTTTTTTTATAACCTAAATGCTACTAGGTTTACTCTTTTAGAAAAATTTATTTTTGTATTTATATGAATTAAAGTGGAGTGGAGGAAATAAATAAGTAATGTTATGAATCTTAAATCCCATATCCCTGTTAATTCTAAACGTATTGCTTATGAAGGCAAGTAAATAGTTTTACTATCCTGAAAGCTAAAAATAACCATTCCTTCCTGGATTCAAATTTTAAAATCAGTATTTATGAACTGTTAATTCTTATTTTAAAGAAGTTGAGTTTTGCATATTTTCTTCAATTTTTATTTATAAAAATTAAAAGTAAATTCTGGAAATATACCATAATAAACTGACTATTAAAATATTTTCTAAAATAAACAAAATCTATTTTTTCAGGCACCAAAGATATCTGTTATATAGATAATTGGAAAGAAATATGCATAATGGTCCTGAGAATATCTAAATCACATATGTTCTTTCTCTTTGTATTGTGTTATTACTAACGTGGCAACCAACACGGGTCTCTGCTTTAATCACTCACCTGACATCAGCATATGGGGTATTTGTCCCATCTACATATCAGCATTTTCCAGGCACCTGAAAAATGGGATTTAACATTTAGCAGAATAACGTTGAGTATTTTGATCAATTTAAAAATTCTAACAATTGAATTTCCACCTCTACTTAAATTAGATGAAATAAAGCACAAGAAACTATACTGTAGAGAATAATTATCTAGTGGCTCAAGGAATTTCTTAATGATTGAACATTTTGGAGTAGAAATATGTAAATTTATTATTTCTGTTCATCAACTTTATTTTTTTCTCACCTTGAGATTTATTTTCTTTAGGAGCACAAATCATCTAAATAGTATCATAGAATAATTAGTGTAGAATGGTTAATTTTAATAAGATACTACTCAGAAATTCTAAGTAATATGTTCCAAATAGTCATATTGAAACTTCTTGTCTAGGCCTCTGTATTTCATAACACAGTCGGATTTTTGGCTAATTCTAACTACCCAGTACTGATTTTTTTAACTACTTTCATTCTGTCATGAAAACCTATTATTTTACTCAGATTAAATTACTGCCTCATCAAACCCCATTTGCATGTGATAGTCATGCTACTGATAATAAGAGCTAACATTTGAGTAGCTTTTATGGAAATTTAGCATTTTTAAATATGCCACCACCTTTGAGCCCACCATCAATGGCATGAGACATAAAAGGCAGATGTGTTAAATATTCTCAACTGAAGGATAAAGACATTAAAGTTCAGAATACTAAAGTGACTTGTTTAAGGCCTAAAACTAATAGGTAATGGAACCTAGACACATGTACTTTTCACTTATACTACATTGCCTGTATTCTCTTTTGCTCACATTTTCTTCTGTACTGTCATTACTGATGATTGTATAAAATAACTTTTGAAGCGCAATAGTTTCAGAGACATCAATTAATGACCCTTATAGTCCGATTCTTTTTCACATTTTAGACTACGGTTTTTAAACTTTAAGAAGTAATACTTAAGTTTTCTTGAATATAAAATGTCACTTATTGAAGGTGGGAAGATATTAAAAGCGAACTTATTGACTGCTATGTCTTTATTCCATCTTCCGTGTTTTCTCCATCCCCATCTCCACCCCATACATGGTGTTTGAGAAATTAAAGAGAAAATCAGACCACTAGCAACAAGCAGTGCTTATTTAGAATATACTAAATATTTACCTAAAATTGTTTATTTATTGGAAATCTATTCTAATTGCATTATTGTTTTAGGTAAGCTTAACCATTTAACACATTATAATAATCAAAAAATTTACAGAAATGTCATGTTAATAAGTAGTGTGTGATGTCTTTTATTTTTAATTTGCATTTCAACAGAATTCACCCTTTCTGACTAACTTCTTTAAAATCTACAATCATTAACCCATAAAAAGTTGACTCTGTAAAATATGTGACCTAGCTTTTAGCCCACAGAAATTAAATTGAAGGACAGCTATCAGAAAACAAATTTTAAACAGAGGTACAGGTCTCCATGGTAGAGACAGTCACTCAGATCTGAAATCCTGAATCTGTATCCCCAGGTAAGTGTGGGATTCTTGTTGTGGACTGATACAGAACCCTGATTAAATGTTGACTCTGGGTGGAACAATGTCACACAATCATGGCCTCTAAAGTGTTTACTATCTAGGTAGAAATAAGGAAAGACAATATAAATGTTCTATTTTACTGAAGTTATGAAAACGAAAAGCTTACGAAAAATTTATCATGGAAGAATTTTCAGGGGATAATTGATTTTGAAGAACAGGCTAGACTACATAGAAACATAATGAAAGAGTTCATTTTTCTCCTCTCTTCAGAAACTCAAACTTATTCTAGCCTCCATCCTGCTTTTATATGGGGGGCATATTTTACATTTCTAATTTGATCAATATGTTTAAAGTAGGAATTTATCACTGCCGGTACACTAGTGCCATCCTAACATTCTGAGTCAATATGCATTTGAAAAATTTTATTTGTCATTTGAATACCTAAAATAATCACAATGTACAAAATCCAAAATGTGAAATATAAAAATTTAGTTTTTCTCACTTTCTTAACCCAAAGCTATCAAGGTCCCTGTTGTGGAAATAATTATAATAAACTGTGTTTTGAAGACTTTTCTTAAGTATTATTTGCATTCTCTAGCATGTGCATTCAAAATGCAATACAATATGTTTTGAAAATTCTTCACCAGTTAAAACTTCCTTTTATAGAAAATTTTAATATATATACTGTCACACATTTTTGAAGTGCAATACCCTTCAACTTTAAGTAACTCTTATTAGCAATTATTAGAAACAGAAGGCCGGGAAATAGCATTAGAAAAAAATGAGAAAATTAATAATGGAGAAGTAGAGTTTTTTGAAATGAAGATTTAGAAAAAATAAAATAAAATGAGAAAAAAAATAAACCCAGGCCTTAAAACTGCACTACTGCATTTGGCAAACAAAAGGGAAGGAACTGAGATACAAGAGCTTTGGTAATGAATTTCTTGCCAAAAACAATGGAACCACTGACAGTGAGCAGAGGATTAGAAACATATATTGAGGCTGGGCATGGTGGCTCAAGCCTGTAATCCCAGCACTCTGGGAGACTGAGGCGGGTGGATCACTTGAGGTCAGGAGATCGAGACCAACTTGGCCAATATGGTGAAACCCAGTCTGTATTAAAAAATACAAAAATTAGCTGGGTGTGGTGGCAGGCGTCTGTAATCCCAGCTACTTGGGAGGCTAAAGCAGGAGATTTGCTTGAACCTGGGAGGTGGAGCCTGCAGTGAGCCAAGATCACACGACTGCACTCCAGCCTGGGCAGAGTGTGACTCCATCTAAATACATATATATATTATAAATTTTGTTTATGTATATGTATTATATGTATTATATCTATGTATTATATCTATTATAAATTTTATTTATATGTATTATATATGTATTATAAATTTTATTTATAAAATTAAAAGTAAATACATTCTGGAAATATACCATAATAAACTGACTATTAAAATATTTTCTAAAATAGACACAGTCGAGTTTTTCAGGTACCAAAGATATCTGTTATATAGGTAATTGGAAAGAAATATACATATATATATATAGAGAGAGAGGGAGAGAGAGAGAGAGATGTTAATCTATGGCTTTTTCTATCACAGGACTCCATTGTATTCTGCAATTGGCCATCTAAAACTCTGTATATAAACTCAGATAGGTATTTAACATAAACATGTTATAACGAATGTTTGCGTATTCTTCCCTCCCTCAAATTTATGTATTGAAATCCTCACCCTCATGGTTTTGGTATTTAGAGTTTGGACTTTGGGAAGATGACAAGGTCATAAGGCTGGAACCCTTATAAATTGGATGAGTGCCATTAGAAAAGTGACCCCAGATGACTCATTTTCCCCTTCCACCATGTGGGAACATAGCATAAGGGCTGCCTTCTATCTATGAGCCAAGATGTGAGCCCCCACCCGACATCAAAGTGCCAGTGCATTGGTTTTGGACTTCCCAAACTCCAGAACTTGTGAGAAATGAATTTCTGTTGTTTATAAGCCACCCAGAATACGGTATTTTTTATAGCATCCTGAATGGATTAAGACATGAGCCCATAAGCAAATGCTTGCTAACTTAAATAATGCAACACCAACACGTGCTCTTTGTTGAACCCATAAGACGCAAGAGCTTGTAAAGTTTCTAATAAGGAAAAGAAGGCTTTTCCTGAAAGATTCCTTTTTATTGGTTTCAGGACCCTCCAAATAGACTGGGAAGACACTCTGTCAACCATTCCATGAATTTATTGAAGCCTGTAGACAATAAAATGAAAGTGGCTGATATAGCTTCTTGGATGACAACTTTTTAGAATTGGGCACCACAGTTATCTTTGATAGGGAAGGGTGAGGTCAGCTCTTGATTGAGTGAGTGATTATTCTGCCTGCAAAGGCTTGTATGTGGGCAATCTCTGATGTGATTAAGTCTTCCCCAAATCATACTCGAGTTACCTCTCTTCTTCCACAATTCATTTGAGTTGGTTTTGACTTCTGTTTCCCTGGCCACTCCCATTAGGAGTCATACCCAGCTTGTCCTAGGGAGAAGTGCCAGTTACTGTGGGGTGCTGCTTCTCTCAGCGACAACCAGAGTTATCAGGAAGTGTGCTCTCTTTCCCCACATTGCTGCAAAGAACCTGAAGGAAATTCTGACCATCTCCTGGCCCTCTATGACCTGGTCAGTGTTCTGATGAGTTATGGTCCTCAGAACAACTATATCTTTTCCCTTCTTCACCTGCATTCATTTATCTGCAATGAGGGGCTAGAGTCTGTCGCTCTTTTGGCTTGAACTCCCCTTCATTTGTTCTCCTCTGATTTGGTAGAAAAGGAGAAAGCATAAAGCCTGCCTTTGTTTTGTCATACTTAGTGAGTACAAGGGTTTCTAGAAAGGTGAATGGAACTAAAGAAAATAAAATATTTTTAAACTCTAACTTTCGAACCAGAAAATTGGCATTTAATAAAATCAACATAAATGCCAAACACAGATTACTATTATTACACATTTAAGAAATTGTAATTGTACAATGTTTAAGAACATAGAAAATACTTTTCCTATGATTTCATATGTTTACTGAGGACATATTTCTCTAATTCTAGTGTTTAATAAGGATTCTTTATTGCTTTTTCTTATAGTAGAAGAAGTAGAAGCGTTTTCAGGAACCTAACTCTTCTGATTGTGGTGGGACTTTTAATCTCATCTCCTGCTGCTAGTGTCAGGCCTAATATAGATAGTGCTCACTCTGGCAGTCAATACTATTTTGTGTTAAAAGAAATTCAGTAAAAGTTTAATGCACTTACATTAGATCTTTAAGCCTTGTAGTATTACTTGGTAGTAATATAATGACTATGACATAAAACTACATTAAAAAGATTTAGAGATATGGGGGATGTAAATAGTAAAAATAAATCAATAAATAAATAAGTATTGCTCACATTATGGACACAGAGCAGGGATATTTGATAGGATTGGAGGAGACAGAATATCAGAGAGCCCTTCAGGGTCATTCTTCACATGCAAGCAACAGTAGTTACCTAAAAGAAGGAGACACACACGAAGGGTATCATTTACTTAGGCAATAGTACGAGTGAAGTGTTTGTATATATTTGGCATTTCTCAAGTTTGATGCTGCTTGATCAAAACTAATGAGGTGGAATTTGTTGTCAGACAGACATGAGAGATAAACAAGGGTCAGTTCATAGTGAATTTTTCATGTCATAGAGCGATACTTCATTTATTACTTATGTAGCCTACAAAAAGAAATGAAAGAATTGTATTCAGGTTGAATTCAGACACAGATTTGTTTGTGGACTGGCTGGAGGATGGAGTAAGGCTGAGGAAGAAAGTTTCAAGTACTGATAAAAACTTGTGAGTTTAATTTTGCCAATGTCCATTTAGAGGTACAGAGAGATCTTTAAGTCGATGTGAACATTACTAAAGTAATATTTCCAGGTTTAAAAGATTAATTTTCTAGCAAATATGGCAAGAGTGCATTCCTAAATGTCGACAAGAAGATTAACCAAAGTAATGTCTTTGAAAACTCTAAACAGTCCTCAAGGCACCATTTTAAAATGTAAAATATTAGCTTGAATGCTCAAAATGTAATTTCTATAAAATACTTTTTAAATGAAAGGAAAATAAGCTATTGTTGGTTAAATGAAATACCAATCACTGCTCTAAGCTCAACTTACAGGAAAGTTTACTAAATAAAACTCTGAAATAGATTACGCAGGGAGGGCATATTCTTTCTAACACTAGATACATCTGAATATAAGACAGGCAGTCATTTCTTTAAACTGATTTATGTATCTCTGACTACTATAGTAAAATGGAGAAAAAAATAGCCATTTCTGTTCTCTTTCTTTTCTATTATTCTCTTTCTGTGACAGCAAGCTCATTTTCTATACTAAAGATCTTTGAATATAAATTTCAAAGAAAATACCTCATGTGTTTGGGAGGCAGCCTTATAACTGACACTGAGACTTTTCTATTTTTTAATGCTACTATATGTAGAATACATATTTTAATAATGTGTTTCTGTGGGAACAAAATATTTATATCAAAATGCATACAAAAGAGTATACTTTTTCTTCACTGTTTTATTCAACCGTTTAGTAAGCAGTAATTTAATATGAAAACAAAGTACATATTATTTAATTCTAAAATGCTTCTTGGCCGTTCTGATGATAGGTTGCTGGCTTTGAATAGAAGCTGAGTTTAAAAAACAGAACTACTAATTCCAATTTAAATAGTACCAGGCATTTTGTAATTACCAGCAATAGCACGGTAAGATTAGCATTGTGGATCCCAGTCCAGTGGAAGAAGAGCTGTATAGAGCCAGAAGCCTGGGAGAGGAGTGTGTCAGTTCTACACAATATGCCTTTGACAGAAAGGGGGCAGGCAGGAAAGGGCTGGGATGTAAGAATAGGTGTTACATGGGCCAAGAATCCAACAAAGGCACTCCAAAACTACAATCAGTCAGAAAATCAAAATCCCATCATGGAGAAGAAAAGCAGATACTGTTGACATGAGGATGTACCTATTTATAAATAGAACAATTCTGCCCAAGCCATCTTTATCTCTTTGTTACATGTATTGGGCTGTTACCATTTCATGGGCACATATTTGGTCTCTGAAAATTATTTATTAAAGTGTAAGAATTTAACTACCAAGATTTAACTACACTGCTAAATCTCATTCCTTAGGAATTAATATCCTGAAGCAATTTCAAGTGGTTCTTTATTTGTGATGGTTTAGAATACTATATAGGGGATAGAAAAAGTAGAAATCATCAAGAAAACAAGCAATCCAATTTCAAGAAAATATACCTCATTTTCATTAGTAGTAGCATTGCCTACAATATGGTAAACATAAATGAATATTCCATATATGTTAGTTTACCTGTAAGACAGTGGTTAGGACTTCTGGATCAAGATGGTAATCCCACAGTTCAAATTTTCTGCCCTTCATACTTCAAATCACATTGAGGTACAATAAAAATAGTAACAAAATTATAGCTGTGCTGCAAAACAGAGAAGAGGGATATCCATCAAAAATAACATTTTAAGATTTGTGTGGTTTATGGCAGACATTATACAAGTGACACTGGAAACAGGCAGCAAACCAGCATTGTAACTCTTGTGGAGGAAGACATAAGTATCAGAGTTAACCCAAATGAAAACTGGAAAATAAAAAATCCAACCTCAGAGTCAGCAAGAGCTGGGAGTAGGAGTAGGCCTCAGGGCAAGTAACTGGATAATTAATTGAAAAACAGCTAGATCTGAGCCAGCACAGGCTCAGGGTACAACAGCAAAACTGCTGAGGTATTTGCTGCAGGAAAAGCTTAGTAAACTCTGCTCTATAATTAATTGTTCAGTGCAGTCTACTTTCAGGGGATCTTAGGATGTACATTAGATGGGAAAGGGAAGAGGAATAGAGTGCTAGACGCTTAAGACACACACCAGGATAGAGAGGGAGAGAAGCAGTGAGGGAAAGGCCGTTCCACCCCACAGCAAACAACACCAAAATTCTGTCTCAAGCTAAGAATCTTGCATAATATGGCAATTGTGAAAATATTCAATTTTACCTGGATTATCCCAATCTATTTTTCCTGAAACAAAACCAACTCTTGGTACAACCTGTCCTACATCCACAGAGGCATATAGTTGGAGCCTGTACCAGAAGAGGCCTGAAGCAAAAATAGATCCCCATGTCTAGTGAGTCATTTCATCTTAGTTACCCATGCCAGTAAGGCTTACCAATCTATCTGTATCTGTTTATCTCAATCTATCCACCAAATCTCTCTAGATACTGATAGTAACTGATAAAGCATCATCTACATTGATGTGTTCATGTAAACATGAACATTTATAAAAAAGCACATAGAAGAAAACAGAATCATTAGACATTTATGAGAATACAATATAATAAAGGGAAGGCACTTCAGAAAAAAAAAAACAACTAAATAACTGAGTGGAAAAATTGAGCTAATGTAAAAAATGTTTTAAAAAATCCAAGTTAGTATAGTCAAGAGATTCAAAAAAATACTATTTTCATAAATGTAAAAAAAACCTCACTTCTCTAGAATGGAAGCAATCACAAAATTGAAGAAAATTCTCAGTATTAAATATGTTTACTGAAATAAAATAATAATAATAATTGAATGATGAAATAGTAAGAGACAATATAACCAAAAACTCAGTAATCTGTAACATAAACTCTTCTTTGACCTCTACCAAAGAATTTAAGTAATGGAAATTATAATAGAAAATGAAAAGAAAAATATTATTTATAAATTCTAGTATTTGTTAGAATATATATAATTATATATCGAGTATTTATTAGAATATATATAATTATATATCTAGTATTTGTGTGTGTGTGTGTGTGTGTGTGTATATATATATATATATATATATAAATATTTGAGACAGAGTCTTGCTCTGTCTCCCAAGCTGGAATGCGGTTTCCCAATCTCAGCGCATTGCAACCTCTGCTTTCCAGGTTCAATGATTCTCCAGGCTCACCTTCCCGGGTAGCTGGAATAACAGGTGCACATCACCACGCCCAGCTAATTTTTGTATTTTTACTAGAAAGGAGGTTTTGCCATGTTAGCAAGACTGGTCTCAAACTCGTGACCCCATGATCCACCCGCCTCGGCCTCCCTAAGTGCTGAGATTACAGGTGTGAGCTACTGCACCCGGCCAGAAGATAGAAAATTTTAAAAATATAGATGGACAGCAATAGTTCACAAATACATGAATACCACAAAAACAATTTTTTCTTTTCTTTTTTCCTTTCTTTTTTTTTTTTTTTTTTTTTTTTTTGAGATGGAATTTTGCTCTTGTCACCCAGGGTGGAGTGCAATGACACGATATTGGCTCACTGCAACCTCTGCCTCCTGGGTTCAAGCGATTCTCCTGCCTCAGCCTCCTGAGTAGCTGGGATTACAGGCACCCACCACCACTGCCACCTAATTTTTGTATTTTTAGCAGAGATGGGGTTTCACTATGTTGGCCAGGCTGGTCTCAAACCCCTAACCTCAGGTGATCCACCCTCCTCAGCCTCCCAAAGTGCTGGGGTTACAGGTGTGAGCCACCATGTCCCACCAAAAACTATTTTTTTATTCAAAGAGCTCAGAAAATCAAGAAAGAATACATTTTGGAAACAAATGAATACATAAACAGGCACACTTTTGTGAAAATTGTAAATACTAATAAAAAAATACAAATCCGGTCAGGTATGATGGTTCATGCCTA